GTAATATTTGCTGAGTTTTATATTTTTCCTGCAGGTGGTAGCTCTATTTCTGATTATGTTAAAAATAAAAGCTAAGTAACTTTCGTTACTTTTTTTAATTTGTTTCTTAGTTTGAATTTTTTCGACAGGTGGCAACTCCAAAATAAATAATTTCCAAAAGCTCTCTGAGATACTGATTATTACAGTTCGGTGGCATGTCTGAAGGTATGCACTCCCCAGTATTTTTGAGTCCTGACCTCGCAAACGCGAGGATATTAAGAAGAGAATTTGAGTTGTTTCTACCTCATCTTCTTCGATACATCTACTGATGAGATTTCCAGCCACTCTCCACAACTAAGGAGAGGCTTACAAAGAGACCTCCTGCAATCGATCTTGGGGCAAAAGGCTTTTGCAACAACGTATGTACCGACGATGGCACAGCGCTGGCCAAGCTCCCGCGAGTATACGGGAGCACCGACCCACATTCCCCACACGATGGCGGTTTTAGGGTGACTTTTCCTGCTAGCTCATCAGCTTTACAACTTCCTGCTATTCCGCTATTCCGGTACCCACACCGGTCTTATCACAAAGACACTGGGTGGTATTGATAGCGGGATTAGGCACTCCTTGACCAACTCTGAACGCACTGTTAATGAGTTCAAGGCTAGTATCGCCGCTCTGCTATCTGAGGTCACTTCTCTGAAAGAGGCTGTACCCTGGAGCAGTAAATATACTCCTACCTTAATGGCTGCAACCTCTGGAAAACACTGCAATAGTCAGTAAGTCTGAAGCTGGAGTTGATAGAGAGCTCCTGACAGTAAAGCCCTCCATCAACTTTCCCCATCCGTAAAGGAGCTCATAACTCTCTCGCCGGTATATGGGTAGCGAAGTAGCCGCCAGAGTTCGGTTTGTCGGCTCCATTATCCAAGTGAATCGGTATGAAATCAAAGTGTTAGAGAATTTCCGAATGTTCAGAAACATGTTCGAAGTATTGTTCGATGCTCTTCTGAAGCCAAATCACTGATACGATCGTCTTTTAAAAATTTGATGCACTGCGATAAGATTTCAAAATGTGGCAAGCATACACCGCACGTAAAACCCATTATTTTCAAGCGCTGCCCTAAAGCACTTCACGTTTGCCGCCAACTTAACAGCCATTTTCCCCAATTACCCTCGAACGGATTACACATTTTGCATTTTTTTGTGTTGGTTTTTGTTTTTGCTTTTGAGGAAGTGATTTACACGCTCGATTGGCTTTATTTATCCACCTGCTGATCAACACGCCACCAACACATAAATAAGCACGCAAATTTACACACATAGTGAACCTCAAAGCACTCTGTACATGGAAATGTGTGTATATATTTGGACACACGCCGGTATGTAGTGCGGAAATGTGGTTGTATTCTGTTTTCACGCAGCGCATTTATTTACCGCTGAAAATTTATTTAATTTATTTTTTAATCAGCACTCTGCGAAAGGATTAAGCACCCTTTGCCATATTAACACTGTCACACAACATTTAATGCATGTTTATATAATGTACTCACATGCAAATGCCCTCCAGGAAATTCTTTTAAAGTCAATGGTTAATATATGTATATCTTTTTAATTGAAGTAAACCAAATCATAAATTTTTTTAATTAAAAAGCACATTTCACTAGTGACAATTAGTATGGTAGCCTTTAATAACATACAACCATGCTCTACTATATATTAAAATACCTAAACCTTGCTTTTTCATCTACTTAACTTCATTTTACGCTAGAAATCAACAAATGTACTGCACTCATTCCTTGAATTTGATTGTGAAATCGATTGCACCATGGTTGCAAGAGCCCTCTTCGAGTACGCAAGTAATTTGATCCAATTTGCTAATTGCCACAAATGCTGCCACTGAAGTTGTGCAAATGATACTTGAGGCATTAGCAGTAAACATTTCGTTGACATTAGCAATAATAACAAGCAAATTAGGAGACAGGGCGCAACAAATTAGCAGTCAGGAGGAACACATTTTGCATATTTGTAATGATTGCAGTGGTGTTTCGATGGCCATTTGATATACCAAAATGCATTATTCAAGAAATACTTATGTACCACTGAATTTCGTAATTGTGAAAAAATCAATTTCAGAAAGAGTGAACTGACTGGAATTTAAATTTTCAACTTTTTTCAGAATAAAACGGCACAGTTTAGTTTAAAGAAACGACATTAAATGGAGAGGTTCATAGAAGATTAAAAAACTTGATGAAGTCACCACTTTTTTAATCTCTCAACTTATCGCAGCAGAGTATTTTATAACAGTTTTGTTTATCTAACGGTTATTTGTATTATCTAAAGCAAGCCTAGATAGTTATAGTCTTTTGCAAAACTGTTTAAATATCAACTACACCCGAATATAGCCGTTCCTTAATTGCTTAAGGATATGATTGATTTATGTAAATATTATGTTTTGCAAGTCATACTTCTAACTGCTTAGTTCGAAGTCGAAAATCTTCACAAGAAGTTACGTAATTGTCTCTAACTCCTGTTTTTTGAACCCAATTTTACGAATAACACTGGATTGTCGAATCTGACAGCCTTAACGAAAAGTTTGTTTGGTTTCATGGTGAATAATTTCGAAACATGCCGCAAACTTAAGAAATTGAAATAAGTTTCAAATTTCAAAATATTTCCTACAGAAAAGAAGCGTATTACTATCGTAATTTCAATTCTACTTAGTAACCTCACACCGTGTCCTAGGTAAAGTGAAACTTCAAAAATCGCTTACGGTGTTATAGCTGAATTTACACCCTTTTGTCACACATTTTAAAACAAAACCCCAAAGGTTTTTTTTTTACAAATTTTATTTTCGAAAAGAAAAAAATTTCCAAACAATTTTGATAATTTTCCACACAATTCTGAAAATTCTCAACATGAAGTTTAAAAATAACTGGTTTGTGATCCACTTTTAATAATTATACCCTAAACAGGTTTGCTGATAGGTTTGCCATGATGTTTGTAACACCCAACAGGATTCGTCGGAGATTCCTTAAAATATATATATAAACGATCAATATGAAAAGCTGCGTCCATTTCGGGATGTCCATCGCTCTGTCTGTATATAAACGTCTGGTCCTTCATTCTTTTCTCCCCAAGAAGCTGCACATTTTTCGGAACCGCCGACATCGGACTACTAAGTATATAGTTCCCATACAAACTGAATGATCTTTTAAGGAATATTTTGAATTTATGAAGGGTTAACATTTTTTCTTGTCTTTTGGTTTTCAATACAAGTAGTCGAACCCAACCCAAAGGGAGAAAATCAAGTGAAATATCGACGCTTAAGCTTAATCCTATGAAAATTTGTTTAAAGTAATTTGGACTGATTTACCAAAGCTAGAATAATTTCAATTGAAATTTAGTTGGAAAAAAGTACACTCGGTAGCAAACGTACTATGTATGAGCAAAAGATAGTAAGACCTTGTTCATAATTTTAAAGTTCTTATTTTATTCTTCAAAACCTATGTCACCAATACGCCAACGTTTTTTCCAATTCTCGAAACAGTTGTTATAGTCAATTTCCATTCCGGTAATCCTTCAATGCGAGTAGCGAATCACATCTAATATCGTCAATTGACTCAAAACGGTTTCTCCGGAGCGGTCTTTTGAGATTGATGAGTAGAAAGAAGCCACACGGCGCTAAATCAAGCGGTTGCGGCATCGGTTGAAAATTGAACGAAAAACTCACTGATTCTTCCTCAATGCAGTAAGCAACGGTGCTCTATCGTGATGCAAAAATCAAACAGTATTCCTGGTTGACAATTTGGGCGGTTGAAAGGAATTCGAAGTGCACCATACCTCGATTATCGAAGAAAACTGTCAACATAACCTTTTTTTAACTAAGTTTTAATACGTTGCATGACTTTTCCAACTTTCTGAACGTTTCGGCACCAGAAATTTGATTCCGCATCCAAAATTTAATGAAACTACTTTGCTGAATAATTTTACTCTTCATAAAAATCGTCGAATGCACTTTATGATCTTTAAAACGACAAGCGTATACTAAACTCTATTATTTTGATGTGAATTTTTCCACAGGTGTCACTAACACTCACAACAACCCAAAAAAAAATATTTCGACGAATGCATGTTCGTGCAAAATTTTAATTAAAAAGTCTACCGGAGTCGGTGTAGTATAACAAACTTAATTATTTTAAGTTATTGTCGAAATCCAGATAATCATTTTTTTTAAATAAGTTGATAACATCATTTGGGGTTTAGGAGAATATCGGTGAAAATTCTGTTCAAATTCGGTTTTCTTTCTGTCAGTAATCGCTTTAAGACTTTACCAACCACTTTATAACTAAAAGGACTATAGTACCTTTTTTGTATATTCAGTCCTACTCAGTCAAAGTACTCCTGAAAAACTTGAAAACAATTTTTTCAATCTACATGACTATATTTCATAAATGAGTAAATTACGACAGCCAGGTCCACATATCTTCCAAATTCACTACAACCATTGATTACTATTTTACAACAAAAACAAAAGCTAATGAAGCTTCCATCAAATAAAAACACACACTTTTTCATGGAAACAAAAAACAAACTGCTCCGACCAACACTCATCCATTTGCTTTGTCCCTAACTGTAATTCAACTCTAACGGGGTGATAATCCACTGTACTGTTGTTTCATACACTTTTATTTTTATTCAAAACAAATCCTCAGTGAATGACAAATTCCTTAACGTTATCAAATCTCTTGATCCATTACAGCACAACTACAACGACAACAACAAAGCAAAGTGCTGAATGCATGACTACAGCAACAACAACAACAACAGAATCTGAATAGGAAAACAAATAGAAGAACAATGCAAAACAAATAGTAAAAACAGCAAAAACAACGATCCTTCCAATAGCAACTAGCGGGTGAATAACAAACTGCAACAACAACTATAAACAAAAATAGAAAAAGTACAACGGTAAAAGCAACAGCAACAACAACAACTGCAACATAGCAACGCAACAATCGCACAACGACAAGTCAATTGCAAGGACTTCCTACGAAAACAGAAAAGCAACAACAAAATATAAGAAATCAAATTACAACAAACAAAACGTGAAACAACAGTCGCTACAGTATTACAAAAACACGGATGCGAAAGGGAAACAACGACAACAACAACAACACAACTAGCAGCTAATAGAGGCAGCAACGGCCAAGAAAGGAAAGCAGTGAAGGGGCGCACACACACACGCACACACACACAAGTAAGTTCAGCGGTTCACCAGAAACAAGTTGCCTGTTTGTTTTCTACAAATTTTCGCTTTTCGCCAAATCCCACTCAAGTGCGCAGGAAAAGCTCATAAGCGAGCATTGAACACATAACGGATTGCCATAATGATTTCCCGAGGGCACAGCGCCTCGAAAGTTTTTGCGCCAAAGTAGGTTCGAACAAAGTAAGAGCTTTACCGTTATGCGAGGTGGTGTTGGTGAGGTGGCAGGCATTGTATGTACATACGTTATCGGATTACCGCATCAAAAGTGCGACGGATCAGTGCAACAGCGCCGCAGCTATACAGATACCATTCTTTGTATGTGTGTATAACCTTTTAGATTCTCCTCGTAAAGCCCAATAGACCAGTAGCGGCATTTCGAACAATAAATTCCGCACCTTTTCAGCGAATATTGAAATACTGCGCATAAAGTTTATTGCATCGCTTGCTGACCGCTCTCGCTTGCCTCGCCCGCGTCGCCGCTTGAAATTCAATTTTATCGCCGCTGTTTTCCGCTTACTTCCAGTCGCTTTGCTGCATAGCCATTCGCGTAACGGTCGCAAAAAAAAAGAAAAAAAAAAACAAAGCATTTATAATTTCCTGCGCTCATTGACTTGAGTTAAGTTGAGTTGTGAGCTGTTATCCATAGTTCAAATACCCGTTAGCGGTTTATGCAAACTTTCAAGTTGACTCTGTACAGTTTGGTGTTCAAACTCTGAACTATTGCTTTGAGATCATAACTTTTTTGTTGGTGTTCTTCTTTGTGCGGATTTTGCCATTTTTCTTTGCAGTTTGCTTAATTTCACGCCAAGCAAGGGAGAAAGTTACGATAATTTCTTCACAAGTATTTTGTTAGAGTGAATTATATATTGGTTTAAGAATTTGCGCTAAAGAATGTTACTTTTGAATGCTTATCTTATACTAAGATATGCATACTACTAGTGGCATTTTGTGCCCATTATGATAGAAGAGTAAATCCGTAAAAATAATAAATAAAAATCCGCATGAAAATAATGATAATGTTAGTCTAGGTTAGGCTAGGTTGGGTCGTGCGCCTGCTGTAAGGCATGATCCCATTAACACAGCTGTGAAAGCTGGTTATTTGTGTTTCCCAAAACTCCTGGATATGGAACACCTGAAAGACCAGACAACCCACCACGATTTTTTTTAATATCTTAGCTAATATCAATCGCAGTCAGATGAAACAGTTGAGGAGAAATTGTCAAGATGATTAAAACTCGCCTATCTCCATAGAACTTTGCTATTTGCATTCGACAAGATATGTAGCCTCATTGCATTTTAGACTAATTTTCCCTACAATTCTTCTAAAGCGGATGCATTGCTTTAGCCTTCAGCAATTTTTTTGAGAGGAGTCTCAACGGTCTCAAGTCGTAATTATGGGAGAGAATATTTCGATTTTCTTCTCGAAATATATTGCCTTCTTTAAATGCTCTATGCATTAAAATTTTTCATTTTCAATGAGTAGACTTCTCAAATATCTTTGCATACCGTAATAATAAAAAATATCTGATATTATGAATGTCTAAAATAGTATGATAATTGTCATAGTTCACTTAACATTGATAGGAGTACCAAACCAACACCACTTTTACCAACTCCTCGATTTGAAGCAAGCATTCGTAGTAGCATTTAATCTAGCTCGTAACGGATTACTTATAAGTTAGAAGGAAAAACAGCATTTGAAGGGAATAGACTGGAAGAAAACAAGACAGCAAAAGCAAACAAAAATACAACCTTCTGTATTTGGCTTGCATACTTCAAGCCGTCATTAATATGATAATATCGAGACGTAAAACTTGACATATCTTGATAACACTTGGTTTGCGGGTTCTGTAGTACAAAAAAGAAATAAAAATTTACTAGTAACATGAAGATTATTGTTTAAATACAGTACAGTTTAATATCTTAGTATAAAAATTTCAAAACAATCTATTAATATCAAATTCTACTAAATTAAAAAAAATATAATCGTAGACGTGCGGGTGACATATGTACATATTTTGTTGCAAGGTATAATATGGTACTGTTGTAGTCGGTTCGTGTATTGAATAGAACAATAAACGATGATGGCCAAGTTTTGAGAATTTTTCGAGAACTTCTTCTGCGGTGATTTCAAACGCCAGACTGATAAATCTATCTTGAAGCATGTTCGTCTCCAGCCACGTTTTCATGCGGCGAAAAAGAGCGTTCAGATCTCGCATTCGTCACAGGAAGTGTGCAGAATATGCGAAGAAAGCTGTGAATTATGGGATAAAGGTCTACAACGCAGTTCTTCAACGTTTCCAATGCAGTAGTCGGTAACTTGTTGTCTTTTGACAAGCAACGTTGCCATCACATTTATTGCATATGCCAGATCGATAGATTGTTTCTGAAGAATCACGCTGACTAAATGAGTTAGAGAAAGAATATCACTTGGCCAAAAAATCTCAATTAAAATTTAAAAATAACACACGGCTATTGCTTTTCTTGTTACTTTATACTTTTTTAGAGTAGTAAATTATTAATAAGCCATTTGGCCTTTGAAATTTCCCCCATTTCCCCCCCTGTGAACCCGCCCCTGCTACATATAGCAGTGTGTATGTGTCATTGTGTTTCGTAGAGGGTTCAGATAAGGAAGGGTGAAATACTACGTATTTACTTTTCTATGGGAATGTTTTGAAAAGTAACATAACAGAGGACAGAAATGTGTTAAGAAGCAATATGTGAATACCACCTGATTATATTTCACCCGGCCTGGCAAAAAAAAAGGAAAACATTTTCATGACTTAAATGCAATTTTATATGATCGCCTTCAAAATAGGCTGCTGGGCCAACACTGATTCCTTCAAAGAATTGCATTTTTTCGGTTTCGTCGCATTTTTGAAACGCTATTCTCTAGATTGTTGAACAGCTTCGCAGTCATATACATAAACCCACCACTTGTCACCAGTAATTATGCTTGTAATGAACGAACCTGAAACCGAAGTACCATTGGGAAGACAAAACTTCCAGCAAACTCTATTCTTTTTTGTTTTTTTGTTTTTGTAAAAAATTCCAGCCGTAAACAAACAATAAGTGACATACGAAGATCAAGCAAGGACCAGTCCGAGTCATATTTGATCTTGCAGATTTACAAAAAAAAAAAAACAAAAACTTTTGATTATACAATCCGTACTAACATTAAAATATGCCCTTCCTAATGTATGTGTAAGTGAAGATCTCAGTAATTATTTCTTAATCAGATTTTTAATGTATTAATAAAGACCGTTGGCTAGGATTTGTCTTATGAAACGAATTTTATTTTGGCTCAGCTAGGTTTTGTTCAAGGTCAGACTCAGAAAAAGCACTGTCGAATCTACAGTGTCCATTGACCGCAAAAATCAGATTATAACATAGTATCAACCAAAAAAACTATAAATCATAATTTCTTGAAGAAACAACTCACACATGATGTTGATATAAAATTTATAATAAATAAAGCATTTGCCGCAAAATACATAGTTACCTCCAGCATTGATCGGCGACAGCGCACAAGTGGGAAAGAGCTGCGCTTGTAGAAACTGCACACGACCGCCCAAGCCGAACTCCATTTTGGCGTCGTGATATTAAATGCAATTTATTGAATAATGCATAAACAGCTGTCATTTATACACACTTTACCGAAACTAATCTTTAGAGGGAAGCAGAGGTGACTTTTAAAGAAATTGCTTATACTAAGAAACTCCGCATAAAGTTTTATTATTTTATTTTAATTTTTTTTATGTATAACGTGAATAAACAGGAACTTTTGCAATATAACGTTACTTCACACATACAACATAGCTGCCAAATACCGTCGCCGCACAGTCAGTCCTCTCTTCTATGCTATAAATGTGTAGCTTGTTCAGATGGCACCAAACACGTACCGGGGCACGTGAAGTCGCTTTGACTTGCACTTTTAAATTTACGCGATTTTAACTTTTATTTTCTGCAATGACTTTGCAGTTCGCAATTGTTATTGCTATAACATATTCCGCGCCTCCATTTGCCCGCATTCCGCCATCATTTTCATATCACCTTTTATTTCTAAAATATACTTGAGCGCCAGTTGTACAGCTGGCAATTGATGAATTCCTGTGCTTTTCATTACGCTACATACATTATTTATTTGCCTTAAATTACAAGCTCGTTCAGTATTTTTTGTTTGTTTTAATTTTAACTTCTTGATTTTTTCTCGTTTTCATTTGCTTCTTGCAGCAATCTTATTGCCCTGCTGCCAGTCTTTTAAAAGTCGCTGAAATTTGACAAATTCGAGCAACTAAGAAAAAAGAAGGCGCACACACTCATATTGACTTTTAAATTTGATTTATTTGCCAATTTCTTTGACTTGCGCGGCAGTTCGTTAGTTCACTGAAGGCAAAGAAGCCGTGAACTTGCACAGCGTAATTCAGAATTCTTCAAGTGGAAAGCGTTTCGTAGTTGCGAAATTTGTATGCTGTAAAAATAACGGAAAACACATTTTATAGTAAGAATTGTTTCAACTTATCTGCCACCGAAAGCATTTCAATGATTTTTGGCGCACCCGTGCGTATGAGTAACCTCAGCGCACATATTAAATTTTTTTTTTCTCACACAAAATAGCTGTTTTCATTCAATTAGCGGAAATTTATGCACAATGGTTAAGTGTGAATACCTACAGGCACTTTACTCTCACACACATACACACGCTTTGGTTACTTTTTTCCTGCCAGATTACATAACTGCCGCGCGTTTTGGCAACTTTCTAACAACTATTGCATATTTTCCAATATCAAATACTTGGCACAACTTTTTTTCAACAAACTCCGTTCGCGACTGACGAAATTCCACCGAAAAACCTGCACGAAAAATGCACGCACACAGGCATGGCGCACTCAAACAAAACAAAAATTTGCGATTAAAATAAGGCAACAACAAAAGTTAGACGAAAAAACGTTACTTTTATACGAAAAATCAAATACCGCTATGTGTGCGTG